TTCATTTTTGTTTTATCTCCAAAAATCTACTATATTGGCTTGCAAACCACGTGCGTAAACATTATGAAAAACCGTGAAGTTTTTAAGCCTGAGCAAAAAAAAAATGGCTGCAACACTTCTTTAGTGTGTCGACAGGTCTGATAATCATTTATGGCCGTAAGCTCCAACTCGGATTATTTTTCAATACCGACGCCGTTTGGATGATCTTCTAAACGTTTGTTTAAAGTCGTGTTGATTAATTCTGATACTGACATCAAATCAACCGAACATTCTTAATCGGGATTTAATCCGAGGATAATATCGGTTGGAGCTTACCACCAGAGAGTGCGACCAAAAGTTATGTGTTAGTCTATAGGGCTTTTTTTTTCTATTATCAGACAAAATGGATCAGAATAATTCTATTAAACAAATGAAACAAAAATTCACAAAACTTTCCCGGAAAAAATTAGTTTAAGTTTTTGGAATTTCCCAGACATTATGTACTTTGAAAATTCATAAGTCATGAACCAAGCACCGTAGAACAAATGGCATGAGACACCATTTAGAAAATTTTACAAGCAAACTTTTTTTTTCTTAGCATGAAAAAAATAGTTAGAAAAAATTTCACATTCAGAAAACTGGTTTTTCTGCTTTTCTTTGTGATTTTCCTCCATCGTAAAATTTTTCGTGTGAACTTTTTTTCAGATTATATTTTATATGGTTTCTGAGATAATTTTCCCTATCATTTCACTAGAAACATTTGTTCTACAATGCTTGGTTAATGAGTTATGAATTTTCAAAGTACGTGATGTCCGGGAAAATGTGAAAACTTCACCCAATGTTGTTGAATTTTTGTTTCGCTCATATGATCTTAAACTCTACCTGTGGGCCAAATGTCATAGCATTCTGATAATATTCGGCCAAAACCTGTTCGATAATTTTAAAAATCCCCATTTTCTAGCAAGTTGATAATTTTATAGCGAATTCGTTTATTATTCAGTTCCAACCTGTTCGCGCTGACAAAAAGATCGGTTTCGAACTGGTTCCAACCACGATAATAAACGAATTCGCTAATAGTTTCCTCTCCAAATTATCCACCTAATTGGTGTTAAAAGCTCGCGTAAATTCGAAAATCTGCAAAAAAAAGGTTGTTCAAAATGCGTTGCACAATTATTCAAATCCAAATGGTCGCGCAAATTCCCAAACTAAATGAAAATGTCCAAAACATTGAAGTTGCCGTCTAACTTAATTATTTGAGTAAAATATTTAAGATTGTTACTAGCTTTGTCTATATAAGAGTGAAGTGCGGCAAAACCCGCCACCTAATGTCAGTGCCTTTATATAAACGTACTACGACGTGACAAATAAATAAAAGAGCAGAACTAGGGGAAATGGATGTAATGTCGGCCTAAATGCCCCTAATTTGGGCCCATACATAAATTCAGCAATCGATTAAATTTTCAATAGCGACCAAAAATATCCCACTGACGCGTTCATCTAGATAAAATTGATAAATAGCAGATTTTCAGCGATGGGCCCAATCTTAGATCCATAGGCCAACATTAGAGTCATTTCCCTTACTTGTTAAATTGTTGGTCCCTCCTTCGGCAAGGTGACAAAAGTGACGAATTTGAGGGGTTTTGATTACTGATTTTGCGTTCATAATACACTGGAGTCGCTTTTTACGCGAGTGATACGTCCCGCGTAAAAAAAAACCGCGTAAATTCCGGAATCCGCGTAAAAAAAACCGCGTAAATTCCGAAATCCGCGTTAAAAAAAACCGCGTAAAAAAAGACCGTGTAAAAAATAACCGCGTAAAAAGCGACTCTAGTGTATAATGATAAACCGCGTAAATTCTGATATCCGCGTAAAAAAAAAACAAAATCCGCGTAAAAAAAACCGCGTAAATTCCGAAATCCGCGTAAAAAGCGACTCCAGTGTACTCGATTTTGTCAGCCCCTCCACGCATCAGACTTTTATCTTTCAATAATTTGACATAGCCGTAATTATAAATATTTCCCATTCATCTTCAGGATGGATGTTTAAGGTATACTTTGGTGCAATAACATCACTGAAAATGCGCATAGGTTTCGTAGAACATAAGAAAAGATTTTCAAAAAGAGAGATGATAATATTGTGTCATTACTGTATTTAACTTGATAAGGGCCTGGCGTAAACATTCAAGCTTCTCACGCTGAAAGACTTGAGGTTAAATCTCACCTCAGACACATCTAATGTGTTTCTTCCAGCTGTTTCAATAGCTCCTATAGGACATTCAAGCCTCTCTGAAATTCAAAGGTAATCAGAGCTCCGTCAACCCTTCCTTTGTAGACGTAGAGACAGCGTACCACCATCTGGGGGAGCCAGAATATCGGATATGCACAAATTTAGCACGGTTATCTAAACTACTTATTCAACTAGGATTATGAATGGAATTGGAACTGGAAGTACAGAATTTAAAGCATCACCAATATGTGCATCTTAGAATGGAATGGTCCTCCTATAAGTGAATTTAAATAGAGTTATTATTTGTGGAGGAAGTCCATATTTCCATTTATTGCAGATCCAACGGTATTTTGAAAGAAAAAACGCATCAGTTCTTTAATCGAAAACTGTTTGTTCTTTCATAAGGACTGGTCAAGTCATAAAACTGATACACATTTTGAGTCCCAACTTTTTTAATTGACTACTTAGCTTAATGCTTTCTTAGGCAAGGAGAATTGTATGACAGACTAACTTCACACGATGAATTTTACCATTTAGGAAATCTTGCACAGTGGTTACATTCCATTAGTTCTAATGATTCTTCGAGAGCGTATTTTAAAGGCTTGGGCTTAAGTCGTGACTTCATTCGCGTGATGAATAGACTCATGTCCAACCACTACTCGCTAGATGCACACCTCCATAGAATAAACCTCGTGGACACCATATGTCGTTGTGGAAACGGTTACGGTGACATCGATCACGCAATGTAAGGCTATTGACGCCGCCAGAGAGCGACCTTTGAATACCGTCAACCCTATGTCACTATCAGAAACGTGTTGGGAACCCGCGATCTCTGCTATAGTCAGTCGATTTGTCTGCAAATTTCTAGTATAAGAATTTAATTTCTTTGTCTTTTGTCTCTCCTTATTAGTTTTTGTTTATCTTGTCCCCCCGTCTCGATGAGTCTCATCGTCACCCATTAGAACCGCACTACCGTTCATACTGGCAACAACGAAACCCCACCCCCCAAACTCCTCCCCTGATCCTATCCTTCGAAAATGTATCCCTCTACCCTCGGGTAAGCAGCGAGTATTAGGCCCATATCCTACTTAACACAGAAATAAGTGAATTTTGTTACAAACAATGAACAATGCATTATCGGCTCTGTAAAACTGACGCGATTGATCCTTTCAAATAAACGAACCAGATAAAAATAGTTTCAGTTTAATAAGTTGGAATCAGTTAAGTGAAGAGTTTTCCATCTACTAAATAGGGATAGAACATCATTTTCTATAATTTACATGGAACTCTGAAAAGAGGATTGTGTTTAATTATCCGACAAAATTTAAGTTGAAGTTTTCGGACTTTCCCGGACATCACGTACTTTGAAAATTTAGAACATGAACCTTGGTTGATACTTGCATCGTAGAAAGAATATTGTGTAGTAAAAATATGAAAAAATATCTCAAAAAACGGTGAGTGACACCACCAGGCATGGAAAATCATTTGCATTCATTTCGTGCATTCATTTACATTCATTTGTCCCTAACTTTTTTCAATAACAGAATTCCGCAAAATAATGTACAGAGTTTTTGCAGGCTTTGTTATTAACTACAACTTTTGTTAACAACTCAAATCCGTATCTCTTATGCATGACGAACTAGAGAGAACAGAAGCCACTACTGTTTTTCAGTGAATGTATGTTACATTTACACAGTAACAAGTTCTGCCTTTCTAGTTCGTGATGCATAAGAGATATAGATTTGAGTAATGGGCAAAAGTTGTAGCTAACAACAAAACCTACAAAAGCTCTATTTATCATTTTGTGGAATGCTGTTGATGAAAAAAGTTAGAGGCAAATGAATGTAAATGATTTTCCATGCCTGGACACCACTCTGAAATTTTCACCAGTGAAAGATAAGTTTTCAAGCATGAAAAAACCATTAGAAAACTTTTCAATGGCTTTTCTTAATTTTCCTCCACCGTGAAAATTTCCGTGGAAAACATTTTTCAGATTATATTTTTTATGGATTGCTGAGATAATTGCCTTACCATTTTTCTTTGCTAAAAATCTCAATAATAAAGTTATAAAAAAAACTTTTCCTTTTACAACACAATGTTTTTCCTGTGATGATTGGTTCATGAGTTATGAATTTTCAAAGTACGTGATGTCCGAGTTAATCCGAAAATTTAAATTTTCCAGGAAAATTAACCATCCAGAATTGTTTTATTTATTTTTTTTTTCGTTCATATAATCATAAACTCTACCTGTGGGCAACATTTCATAAAATTTAAGACCATTTGGCCCAAACCTGTCCGATAATTTAAAAAAAAATGCCTTAACTAATTTTAGAGTTTGAATTAGTTTAATAAGTAAAAGCAATGTGTGAAATCTGTACATTTCCTACTAAATCTCGAGCATATTATGGGAAACATTACATGTATAATGGAGGTGTTTGCAGTACTTTAAATAAGACGGTCAATGAGGTCATATTATTTCTCCGTCAGTAACCACATTTCATGTAATATTTACCACAGTTCCGGACTGATTCGTGCTTTTATAAACTAACAGACCAATCGCTGATTTCTCGAGTAAAAAAGCTCAACCTCACAAACAAACTATACTAAATGGTAGAGGCATTTGTGATAGTATTTTTCTAGATTGAGCTTTTATTCGCAGGAAATCGGCGATTGACGTGTTTATATACAAAAGCATGTACACCCTAATTACGAATCAGCCCGGAATTATCAAGTTTACTATACTTCATATTCCTGTTATTTAGACTTCCGTAAGAAAAATCAACTACAAAACTCACCTTTTAAAATGCTCTCGTATTCTGTCCTCTCGTACCGTTTCGGGCAAGTTTCCAACCCAAAGATGTCGAGTCTCGCGTACCATTGTGCCTCAGGTGCTTCATGGAGGCGACTTTTCCGGTCTGGGGGCCGTCAACCCAATTCTTGACAAATTTCCAATTCTTTCCCTCTCGCTCTCTCTCTCTCAAACCCACCGCCAGCACTCCTTCATCATACTTCTACACTCGGGACACACTTACCGGGAACCGATCGGGATCGGAACAATTACTCACTGGACACGATTCTTCCTTTCCCTTAAATACTTGATTCGCGAACACGTTTATGAGACGCACCGCGGGGAAAAGGACGATCTCGCTCGACTAACCGACCGACTGATCAAAGGTAAATTTGACCAGATTCCGGACGACTGCGACACGACTGTGGACGGCCACATACGATGATGTTTATGACTGTTACATCATTTTCCGGACGACGATTATCGCACGGATTTCGACTGGCTAAGGAGAAATTGGAATCGTGAAATAAAACACAATTTGTTGGGCCCCGTAGACGAACACAGCAATTGCACACTGCACCAAATATATGAAAACACTGAGACAAGCACACTCTACTACAGAAAACGTAGCGAAACAAATATCGAAAGAGAAGGTCTGGGAACAATCTCTTTCAGCCCAAAAATTATTCGCGTATTCCGGACGTCGAGAATCCGGACTCTAAGATCATTCTACGTTTGCACTGCTCCTGTATGAAACTTTTTTCCATTCCTTCCGCGAGGAATTTTCACTTTCCTCTTGGGACACCAACTTCCGGATTCCAGATGTGGAGCACTTGTTCACAAGAAACGAACACTCTTCCCTAAAACCGACCACGGAATTCAGAGTGGTCTAACAACAGTAGACGGACTCCGGACTCCATCCCCTTGGAAGGGGGAAGCTCGGGTTGGGTTCACACTCGTTTCCTCCTAACGATATTGATTCCGAGCTCTTACGATAAACCGAAACTCCAAATCCGTCCAGGATAATTGAGCTTCCTGTTGGGCTTCTCTTTCCGTTAGTAGCGAAACATAATAGTCACTTCTTCTCGCAAAGACGTACTACACCTCCTTGGCTCGCGGGTAAACTATTTACAAGAACAATTTACAAAGAATCGACGTACCCGACGAACGCGAAGTGAAACTTAACGAACTCTTAAATTTGAATGAAGATGAAATTTTCACTATTTTTATTTTTTCCTGTGGCAAATTACCTTTTTCTCCTTTGCACTTCGCATAAAATAATCGTAATTTTCCTTTTAAATCTTCCTTCAATCGTAGATTTAACACACTTAACAATTCTGATTTTTAACAATTTATATTATGCAATCCTACAAAATAGAAAACAAATATTATAACGCACTGCAACACTTTTCACCAACAAAATTTGTTCTGCTGTCTGATCCCTCTTTTCTACTCGGGTTGTGATCAAACAGGAAAACAAACTGCTAGCACTGGACATCAATCAGGCGACGACGTCATGAAACATGAGATTCCGTAGAGGTCCTTCCAATCAATGTTTTTTTTTTTCTTCACTTTTCTACACTGAAAAAGTACATTTTCACGACCGGACGGGTTGAATTCGCGAACCGGAAATTAAATTTTCAATCCAAATTAAACTCTTTAGGATGACGCGACGAGTATCGGCTGGGACACTGCTAGCTGGAATGCTCTCTTTTTTCTTCCCGAAAGGTTATCGCCTCCATACAGATAACCAGGAATTAATGAAACCACAGCCAGAAACATCATTTTCATGATAATTACACTTTTTTTTTCCAATTTTTCGGCTTGAATTTCAGCACTTTTTCTACACTTACTATTTTGAAAGAGACACTTTATTCCACTTCTTCCTGTACTTATTTTTTTCGGTTTTCTTCCATAAATTGTGCCTCTTCCTTCTTTTGCGCTCGTTACTCTTTATTCATCAGTTACTAGACTCGAGAAGAGCACACTCGCTCTCTTTCACTCTTTCACAGCTTGGATTGCTCCGGGTAGATTTCTGCTGCTGCTTGGATGATGGTTTTTCAGATGGAAACAACGACGACAACGCGTTACATCGATGTCTACTCATCGCGTTCCTGAAACTGACTGAGCGGCGGGGCGCGCGCACACACCAAACGGTCAACGACGGATGAAAAGAAGCCATCATCATCGTTGACTCACACGCACACTACGAAGCTAGCACGTACAACGCCCGAAAGCAGTATCGTTGGAGCAAGCGAGATGGAGCAGCATAGTTTTTTATCAAGCACCAATCCAACCATGGGCACGTAAACGAACCCTGAATGTATGTATGACTCCGTTTCGTTTCGCGAATCTCTCATGCCTGGTTTGGCTGTGTATGGCATGGCAGCAAACTGGACGGAAGTCGATTTGGTAGGATTTTCTAAAGACGTTATTCATATGCTATGCTCGTATGTTCGCTCATCACTCGGCAGTAGTTTTGTGCTTCCATTTTGATCTTACTGGAAAATCGAGGCACCGTTTTCATAATGGAACAATTTGTATGTGTGCGTGCCTACATGTATTTGCTACTGTTGCTTTTTCTGGGGTAGGCCTGATGAAAAATAAATGTGAACCAGGGGTGAGATGTGGCTGTCATATACGAACAATCGTCGCCTAATTCGTACAACTGGTTCAAAATGTAAACAAGCCATTGAACTTTCTGGCGTTTAGAACACGCACACGCAAGTAATCCCATTTTCAAGTGCGAAGTTTGTTATCCTCACTTCGCGTTGGTTTGTTATTGGCAAATCAAAGATGGCTCTGAAACCGAAAATCTAGGGCACATTTTATATTTTGCCCAAAATTCAACAATATTAGAAATAAATTCCCAGCACTGGAATATGTACTGTAAACCGCTCGTCGGAATACTGAAAGAGGAATGTGAGGCAACAATCAAGCAGATCACAGATCACCTGCTTCATTCAGGAAACAAAAATAGACATCTGAATCAAATCAAGAATACCTGGCAAGATGGACCAACCATGGTCTTAGGCGTCATCAGACAACAGGGACAACAGCAAACAAACAAAAAAGTTGGCTCCCGTGGAGAAGAAGAACTAGGGGAATGGCTCTGCACGCTAACTTGAAAGTACTCATTAATGAGTAAAAAAAGACCCATTTTGAAGAAAACTGGCTTAACTCATTAATGATTAAACAATTTTACCCATTAATGAGTATCTGTTACCCATTAATGATTAACAATTACTCATTAATGGGTAACAGATACTCATTAATGGGTAAAAAATTTACTCATTTAATGAGTTAAGCCACTTTTCTTCAAAATTGGTCTTTTTCAACCATTAATGGGTACTTTCATGTTAGCGTGTGATGCATTCTGATGAAACATTAGGTCGTATGAATAAAAGCGTTTACTTTACTTTTCCCGTAAGAAAAGCACGGGAAAGTAAAGTAAACTCTTTTTATTCATACGGCCCATTAGCGCCATCTGTAGAGTACACTTTCATTGACCAATAATAGAATCCTATCACTGATAAAATTTGAAAGATTGTTTTTATGTGTCCCACACATGAATTTTTGCAATGTGATCAACAAATGAGATTTATGTGTCAGACACATACTTAATGTGTGTACACATAAAAGCTATGTGTAACCACACATACTATTTATTTGACTCATAAATTGCATGTGTGCTTCTGGGTGGATTCTGTTTATGTGTGGTCACATGAAAATCATGTGAAATTGTACATGGAAATTCGTCAATAAAAATGTGTGGAATTCTATTAGTGTAGTAAAATGTATGCGTCACTACACTGAACCAATTTGACATGTTCCTGTTATGTGGAAGTCTAATAATTTTGCGCTATAAGATAATCCATTGAAAATGATATGATTGAAAATGTGTCAGGTAAATTCTATATGAATATCTGATACATTGACAATGCTGATAATTTGAAAACTTTTATATGATCGCCATATGATAAATGAAAATCAATCAAATTATAATAATTAACTGAAATGGATTTGAAACCCATAAGCATAAGCTTTACGTTTCACCACAATATAATATATGTGTCATAAATCAATCGAAGTAAAGTTTATGTGAAAATCACATGAAATTTACTTATTCTTTTGACACATATATTTAATCGATTTCTAAAAATAAATCGAAAAATAAACACCAGGCAGTGGGAGCTTTCACAGTTGTGTTTTTTTTTTATTGTAGATGATTTGGGATTCGATCCAGAACTGTTGAGCTGTGATGCTTTTCGTGTCTGTGCTCGATTCCATTGGGCCACGGCTGACTTCAATATTGAGCTCGTTCAATTAGCATGAAGTAATAACAGCTCTCCCAACATGGAATATAGAGCAACGTTATGCTCGTTTTGCTAGAGTGAAGAAAAATAGCACTGACCAATATATGCTCCGTTTCAGTGGTGTCGTGTATTCAAATCATTATTAATGCTCCTGTGTGCAATAAAACAACATGAAACTGGTTCATGAAGTTCGAGTACTAGTGCTGGAATCTGAATTAGCCGTGTAGAAGGCTTACAATTAGAATCTTAGCAAATAAATATTGCAGTAGAATCATTTTTTTTTCAATCTCAAAACATTCTTTTCCGGAACCCCTTATCTTATGAAACAATAACAAACAATGATTATTTATTACAGTATCATTGTTGTTAGCAATATTTAGTTCGACTAATCATTCTAATGAGTGTACGATAACATAGTTGAAAATTGTTTCAATAATTTATAAAGAACAATTATGTAAGATGTATTTTATTGGGAGCGATGTTCATCCCAGAAAAAACATACCAAAACAAATGTTTGCTGTTGGATTTCTTAAAAGGCAAATCTATATGACTATTTAATGATTGGGATAGATCTTTTTACAATATTCAAACCTAAAAAATCAAAGGAAGCTATTCCAATGAGATATACATGTTTTCCTATACTGCAAAGTTAAATGACAGTCCAATAGTTTCTACATGTCTGTTTACACGCGACATATCAACAAACGTCAAAAATCGTTAAAAGCAACTCCATTAAAATATACATGATTATCTTATATGATATATCTTTTAGTGAGCAATATTCATCATGAAAACAGGTATATTTTACTGAATTTTCTCATAGTGCAAACTTATATGATTTTCCATTAGTTTCTAGATGTCTGTTCCTACCCATGACATATCAACAGTTTTTCACCATGAAATATATCAGACAATATACATATACATCTTACCTATCGCTAACCACGTTCAAAGCAAAGTATTATCAAGTACTAAGTATGTGAAATTACGATAGAAATCATTCCATATCGCAGTCATAGTTTTTAAGTGATAATCCATTGGAATCTATCAATCATCACATAGAATGAATAAATCTCCTGACATTGCTATGTTATAAGATGGATCCAATAAACGGTACATGTCGATTTGTTTCAGTGCACACAGCAAAAAAAAATGTAATATCGATCAATGTAATTCAAGCTGATGTATGAAATAATGATATAATAGCAAAAAGCAGATACAATATTACATCAATGGATGTAATTTTGTTCGCAAAATCGATGTACATCGTACAACGTTATATTACACAACCGATGGATTGACCTGGTTGCAGCAGTTTGGATGTAATATTCAACAACTTTTTTTTTTCTGTGTACTGTGTTACCTGACTTATAACGAATATACGTTGTATACGAGTACCCCGAATACAGCGTATAGTTCGTCTAATTTTGCATTGCATACGTTTTATTCGGGGTACTCGTATACAGCGTATATTCGTTATAAGTCAGGTAACACAGTAGTGGCGGGAAATAGTATTGGTTTTTTTTTCTGCCGAGATGGGCACCACCGAGCAGCTTAGCATTTTATTTTGCTGGATCTCAATGAAAAACTTGCCGAGATTCAGCTAACAAATGGGAATTTTGCCGAGATTTCGGCTAACAAACATAAATTCTGCTGAATTTCGGCAAGTTTTTCACTGAGAACCAGCAAAATAAAATGCCAAGCTGCTCGGCGGTGCCCATCTCGACAAAAAAATCTAAGTTTTTACATCGATACACAGCAATGGATCAATAGATATAATTTTGTTCGCAAAATCGATGTACATCATACAACGTTATATTACACAACCGATGGATTGACCTGGTTGCAGCAGTTTGGATGTAATATTCATATACGTTCAGACTACAGAGTTATAACATGTTATAGCGCTATCTTGATGGTGGTTTCTGTGTTGCAATTAGTTGACAACCGTTATAACATGTTATAACTCTCCAGTCTGGACAGCGTTTAAGTATTGTAAACATTGTAACACTTTAAAAATAAATACAATTTTAGACTACATGAAACATGTTTTGTTCTATTGTGTTACCTGACTTATAATGAATATACGTAGTATCCGCGACCCTCGTCTAGTTTAACATAGCATAATGCAAGTTAAATTAGACGAGTTCATGTTCTCCCGGATACAACGTATGAATATTCGCTATAATTCAGGTAACACAGTAGCACTTTTTCAAAAACCGTCTGGCCAGGAAACGGTTAAAGTCAGAGCCTCATCTTAACTCTGTAGCATCAGGCAAACAAAATTAAAAGCCATCTATTTTACTAATTACAAATTATAACAGTACAATACTTCAACCAAATCATCCATTCTATAACAATATTTCATAAAGGTAAAATTGGTTTTATAAAAATTGTCTTTATCCATTTATCGCGAATTAAAGTTAATGAAATGTTAGCACGGTATTATCTTATATTTTTCGAAAAGAACAAATTGGCCACCAACCCGCATAAATGCCAACCATGGCTTGACCTTACCAAAAATGGTTAAAAATTGTTTATAATCACTGCTTGTCATTAACTAAAATGGTTATGGAACTTTACATGAACGTTGGTGTGATAAAGTTTCAACCTTATGTATTATGGTTTTTTTGGAAGTGAACCTTACAAATAATGGGTTGTTAACGAGGTTGTTATGAACGATTACCATTACAAATTCCAGACTCAAATGTATTTTCCTGGAGAAATTCCAACCACTGTTCTGTCATCTACCTTGAAATCGTCTTTAATCTTCTAAATCTTTTGCAGCATCGATTTTCTATCTCAAATTTAAAGTTTTTAATGCTCTAGAGATTGGAAGTAAAACAGGTAAAACAGTATGGTGAAAAATCATTTTTATTTAATTGTAGCTTGTTTCACAATAATTTCGAGGAAAAAACTAAACTACAAAGTCCCTGATTAATTTTTTTAGGTTGTCGTTAATTTTTTTTACCTGAATATGCACCGAAAGCGAATTATTCCCACTTCTCTCAATTTCTATATGGGGATTTTTATCACCTCTTACCAGCGGAACAGCGCTATTTCTGTGGAAAATGGTCGAACAAAATGATTAATTGAAATCCGTCAAAAGTACACCGATCTAAAAAGCGAGGTTTATCTTGTCTGTTATCTACATGTTATTTTAGATGTGTCGCCCCCCTCGCTAAGACCAGAAGGTCCTGAAGAAACGTGCTCAACTTTTTGGCTCAGCTCTGGTACTCTCTTCTGCCTCAAGCTAATCGATGCACCCCTCGAAACATAGGTTGGTAGAACCAACCGGTGGAAACGAGGGTGGAAACTAACGATTTGAAATTGGCTTACTATAGTATACTTGACTACACGAAACGAAAATCAATTATTTTATTCATGTGTTTCACTTATACATTTTTGCCAAAACATCAGCCTTATACATTCCATAAGACAAACCACATAGGTCCTATAAGAATGCATAAGGTATGTGTGACCGCTTAAACATTTCATTTGACACATGATCTTCATTAACTTTTTGCAAGACGTCTGCTTATTAGTTGACTTATACATTTTATGAATAATCACCAATAGAAATTTGTCAAAAAGTATAAAGATATTTCTATCCGTGTAGCCTATTGGTCCCACAGGTCTACACAGAAAAAAAAAGCTGTTGAATATTACATCCAAACTGCTGCAACTAGGTCAATCCATCGGTTGTGTAATATAAAGTTGTACGATGTACATCGATTTTGCGAACAAAATTACATTCATTGATGTAATATTGTATCTGCTTTTTGCTATTACATCATTATTTCATACATCAGCTTGAATTACATCGATCGATATTACATTTTTTTTGCTGTGTATAAGCGTACCTCATTATAGTCAAAATTCTAGTATACTAAGTATACTATATACTGTATACAGCACTATGTTTGTTTTGATTCACTATGAAAGTTTGACAGATAAAATGAGGGGTTCGTGGATTTTCCTATGTTTCAGCTCAGGTACTATCTTTTCCCTAATAAACGGCTACCATTCACTAACGATATCATAGATGGTACTACCATACTACATAAAGTTGGGATGATATCCACACTAATAGAATTCCACACATTTTTATTGGCGAATTTCCATGTAAAATTCCACATGATTTTCATGTGACCACACATAAACAGAATCCACCTAGAAGCACACATGAAATTTATGAGTCAAATGAATAGTATGTGTGGTTACACATGGCTTTTATGTGTACACATATTAAGTATGTGTCCGACACATAGATATTATTTGTTGATCACATTGCAAAAATTCATGTGTGGGACACATAGAAACAATCTTTGAAATTTTATCAGTGCAGAATTGGTCACACAAATAACAAAAATTGTTGCTATAAAAATAATGCAATTTCAAAATGAAAGTTTCCAAAATTTCTGTGAAAAATGAAAGTTATATCTTTGGTTTGAGAGTTTTTCTTTCACTTCGGACTTGTGATTTTAAAAGCGCATTATGTTTTTTATAAAAGTTGTTCAACTGTCAAAAATACCTCTTCATAGCAAATTTTTTGGTTTTACATCGTAGGTACGTGGTCGATTCCCGTGGTGGGTGGCGCTCCTTTATCGATACTGATGACATTTATTAATGTCTTCACCATTCTGCTGGATATTGCTACGGTCAGGGTTACCAAAACTACAGATAAATCTGTATTTCTGTTTTTAAAACCAAGATTCTGTATTCACAGATTACAGATTTCTAGGATTTTAACAGATTACACAGATTTTTTAAATATGATCAAACATTTAATAATATAAACTTGAGATGTTTAATAACAAAACATTATTTTCACTTCAGTGTAATTTTATCATCACAAACACTTATATCTATGCATGCTTTTTTGCGGAATGAAAAAGGAGAATGAGAACTGTCAGAGGTATTCTTTTTTGCCCATATATGATACATATATTTTTATCTATTTTTTTCCTCTGTCAGAAAAATTGCTCAATCACTTTTCAAATGACATTTTTTAAGGATTCATTTAATAAATTATCAACACAGATATCATCACAGGTTTTCTGGACAAAAACTAAGATGAAAAGATTTTTTTGAACAAATACACAGATTTCCTTTTGGCAACCCTGGCTACGGTGAGTGTTCCACTTTTGTGGTATCCAGCTTTCCATGCTCGGTAATGGCGGCCTGTTTGTATGAATAAATGTATCCTTTACTGTGCTTTTTGACACTAACTGGAGGGCGTATGTTGTTCCATTTTCTTCTGTTCCTGCGAGAGAGAAAGGGAAGGGGTTGAAATTCGAACATCCAGATAGTGTCAAAAAGCACAGTGAAGGATACATTTATTCATACAAACAGGCCGCCATTACCGAGCATGGAAAACTGCATATGCAATGGTTGTGGGTTGTATTTCAAAGGTTGTATTTTTGTTTTTCTAGATTCTTTATCGTCAGTTCATGGAGAACAATGTTGCTCCAGCAGAAAGACGTCGTCAAGAATGCCGTTTCCATGGAGTGATATTGGGATTACATTGTAAAGGGACCGGTTCCCAAAGCACTCTTCGTAATCATCGCCTTCCTTTTGTTTATCGTAGTTTTGAACGAGGAAAACTCCGAAATTGCCGTGGACCCGAAGTTGGACCGAATACTTTCCTTTGTTTACTAGGGGTTGGACCAAATTTGCTCTGGTAATTTTAACAATGTATTATTTTGTTTTTGTTTATACAATATATAAATAAACATTTTTATAAATCATGTAAATATGAGTTTGGGTAAATACTTTTATTTAAATTTTGAAAACTATTAATCTGAAGATATTTCAAATTTGAGATAAAAACACATATTGTCATGATAAAAACGACTCCTTGTGAACTGAAACAATTTGTACTTTAGTTTAAAAACATTGGTTTTCCTTTAGACAGCTCTACAATTTGATTCAAAAGCTTCAACTTTTAAATTTAACGAGGACGTAAACTTTTGATTTGACAGGTTACACATTTTTATGATGAATGCTCTGGACTTTCTACCAAAAAGAACCAACGAAAACTTTTAAGTCTACCCATGGTATTTTTAATTTTAGTAACGATTATTTTTTGTGTGTGGTTAGGCGCTTCTTATGGTTATTGTTAAAGAGCCTGAATTAATTAATTAATAGGCTCTTTTCATGCACCATCAATGTAGAGTGCGCTAGCCGATTTTGAGAGGAAATGTCATCCAATCCATTTGTTTACATCATAATGACGATTTTCAAAACTCAAAATAATGTACATTTTATTGCACAACTTTCAAATTTCCATCGGGAGTGGTCTTATTTTTCGATTATCTACAGATCTGAACTGATATACAGCTGAAATAACCACACATTAAAAATCCGGAAAATCATAACCGCTGGGGCAATTTTTTAAATCTTAATTTTTCTCACCAAAAGTATATGGAAGCACCAGCCGGATCACTGCAAAATCGATACAGAAAACAAAATATTCCTCGTGGATGACGATTTCAAGCACCTGTGGTGGATAAATTAATCAGAAAAGGTGAAAATATTTGCCTCTTCCTTTGCTTCACGGTGAAAATTTCCACCCTCATCACTCTTTTGAGGGTTCCTCTATTCACCGCCAGAGGCTGAATAAATCGATTAGTTTCTATTGGATTCGCCTATTATATTAATTAATTATGCTCTTCACCCTAATAAAAAATAACCATAAACGAACGATAACCCAAATCATTGAACTATTCCACAAATGGTTTGGATGATACCCAGAACACGTCGTTAAGCAAATTAACCATACAATTTTTATTAGGGTAGTTATTGTGTATGCGGGTTCCAGGCCAGTGACAAGGCCTATATCAACAGCAGCGTTTGACAGTAGGCAGCATGTCCCGGGCTCAAATAATTTATTTTGGTGTGCTGGGCCCGCTGTCACCGTATAACATGTTGCTTACGCGCCTGCCACTGGGCTGGCGGGTTCGGTCCCAAGCAGCCCAGTGGGAGGCGCGTAAGCAACATGTTATACGGTGACAGCGGGCCCAGCACACCAAAATAAATTATTATTGCCCATTTTTGGGTAGGTTCAGTTTTAACCGATTTGGGTGGATTCTACCCAAATTTGGTTGCTTTGAAATAGCGTGTAATGTTTTGTGTACAAAAGCTGATAATCCCTTTTCAATCGTTGGTTGAGAGTTATATTTTACCCATGCGTGAACCAAATACGCTACGAAGAGATAAATCAATAGGGCTTTATAGTCGTTGTCACTTTGCCCTTTCCCAGGAGCTGTCAAATGATAGCTCAAATAGAGAAGAAGAAGAAGAAGAAGAGTTATATTTTGTTGATGAACAAAACTTTGGAACATCGGATCAACATTCGATCAGTTTTCTCTATTTGTGCTGTGGTTCAGTGAAGAAATTTGTTAAAATTTAAACAAAATGGGGATTTGTACATATTTTTTAAACAATACTTGCCGTTTCGGTTCGAAATGCAACAACGATCACATCGATTTATCGTGAGTAAATATTTCTGCTTGAAAAGGTACACAAAACATCCTATATGCTTCTTTTCAGTTCTGTCATCAAATCCGAGGTCGATGTTACCCTTAAAGGCAATCAGTGGCCGCTGTCCTGCTTTGGCCCCTTCAAGGAACGTAACTGCGTGCCGAATTTCATCGACGATGTCAGTTTCGAGGAAATTCGGATGATGTACTTGGAGGCAAAAATGCAAAATAACATTCCCGGCCACCAAATGCAATTGATGCAGATGATCAATGAGGCAAAACAGAAGATGCAGTGGCTTACGACAACCAACAGGGACATAATGAACATGTTGATTGAGATTTACAATCAGCAAGATGATTCATCGAAATCTTCCGCTCCGGCAGGAGGGAATCCCTTTGCTGCGCCAATTGGTGCTAGTGCTACTTCCGCTGCAAGCATCTTCGGAGGTGCAACTAGCAACAGCAGCAGTGGATTTGGAACGGGAAGTACGGCATTCGGTGGTTCGAGTACAACTGCTGGAAACATCTTCGGAGCACCCCCGAACCAGTCGGCCGCTAATATATTCGGAAGTGGACCAACAAGTACCTCGATGGGTGGAAATATTTTCGGTAAACCTGCTCAAACGACAACAGGTGCTCCTAACATCTTCGGAACGCCCGCTTTAGGTCAACCGCAACAGCAGACCAATAGTGTGTTCGGTGGACCTCCGGTATTCGGAGCAAGTGGACCATCACTTTTCTCTTCGACAAGTCAGAATCCGCAAACGGTGGGTGGTTCAATTTTTGGAAACGCAAATGCAAATACCAGTGCTGGGAACTTATTCACACAATCCTCCGTGTTCGGACAACCAGCTCCAAATCCGAATATTTTTGCAACATCTGCGCAATCACAACCAACGGTTTCGCCTTTCGCTGCAGCACCAGCTCCAGCAAATAACCTATTTTCTAGTGCACCTACATTTGCAACTCCCACAGCAGCTCAACCGCAGCAACAGCAGAATCTGTTTACGTCAGCTTTCAGTGCTCAGCAAAGTGGTTCCCCCTTCGGCCAGCCTGGTCAACAGCAACAGCAATCATCCCAAAGTCTATTCCTTCCACCACCGCAAACGGCGGCCCAACCACCCTCAATGACTTCTACACACCCTTCAACCTTCGGGACAACTCCCGGAGTTTTCGGAGGAAATACGCAACAGTCGGCTATTCCATTGACTAATCAGTCGACCACCATCTACAGTCGAATGGAGAATTTGGCCAAGGAACATTTAGACGCATTCAGTGCTGAGCGATTCGAGCTGGGAAAGATTCCCACGGTTCCTCCACCCCGAGAGATGTGTGTTTAGAGCTTTGGAGTTTTGAGATTTCGTAAATAAATAATGTATATACCTACAACATGCTTGTTTTGATATAATTTAATTTAGAAGTCAGATTCATTGTAAACCTCCGGGCGGTCAACAATGTAATAATTAGAGAAGTCCATCCACTTCGAACGTTCAAACAAATAACAAAGAAAATCGTTTGTAATCAAATTTTAACTAAGTTTGACATCCGGCAAGCTTCAAGTTCTACTTCGAAAAGATAGTCGTTACATTACATTGATCATGAGCTCTATCAAAAAGTCATGGAGACGTGGCTGATAATTTTCATTGATGACTTTCAGATGACCGCCAGAAACGAATCTGAGCTTCGTTAAAGAACTTAATAGTATAGTCGATTGAAGTATTATAAGATATTATTGAATGTTGACACAGTTATTTCAGGTGTTAGATAAATAGATTTCTTGCGTTATCACATTTCTACGCAAGGAATTTCAATGTCTCAAGAAAACACTGAGGAAATAATTCGATCGAATGTCATAGGAAATGCTTATAAATTTTAACCAAAAGAATTTATTTTGAATTTCATACGATAGCACAAGGATTGCCCTTTTATTTTGCCTTTAGGCGCCATGGCGGCACGACAGTTTCTCCAAACCGACTTCCAAGCCGAATCCTATAAAAAGTCGAAGGATCGAAGAGGAATTTTCCAAATCGATATCCAAGCAGGATTACCTCGGGTAGTGTCCAAGCAAGGATTGAAGAGAAATAAGAGTAAAATAAAGTAGAAAATTTGCAGGTAATATTTAGCTGTGCAGTGCTGTTTAAATTTATTGTAGCTTCTTCAGCTAAAAGCAAATACCTAGATACGCACGGCAAGATAGCACGATGCGGACTAAACACACGACCAGGGTTGTTAATCTATAACCGTCGATAATGTCTGCAACGAGAATTCGGACTGATGAGGAATCAGAAAGAATTGTTAGCTATTATAATAGTGATGCTTGTCCGTTAGCAATAACTCTTGAGGAAATTGTAACTACCACAAGCTCAGATGAAGAACTGCAAGAACTGATGAAATAATTTAATGGTTACCGCACCCTTCTCGATGATGGCCTAAGCGCCTATGTCATTAATGCGTTATGCAAAGAAGGCGGGATGTTTCACCAGATCAAAGAATTATAATTCCACGAATCCTACAAAACCCAATTATTAAGTTGGCTCATGAACCTCAACTCGGAATCACAGTAATGAAAGATCGCCTAAGATCTAATGTATGGTGGACTTGGATGGTTCTGCGTTCGAATACTTCAAAATTTGTCTATATTTTAACTACTTGGGGCTGTTTATATACCACGAGGAAACTTTAGGGACGATACAAATGTACAAAAAAATGTATACATGATTGTCCACGCAGGGGGTGGGAGGGGGTGGTTTAGTCTAAAACCTCTCAAAAACAGACAGACCTTTACAGTTAAAATAATCCTAAAAAAGACCAAAGTAAAAGGATGTTGTATAATGAGCGGTAATTTCTACTCATCAAATTTGCAGTATATCAAATAACCACTCAATAAATGTTGATTCTGAAACAAGTAAAAGCGCTAGTTCTCAAGAAACTTTGTTCAAGGCATGCATACTACATTCAAATCCATCGACTGGTGCTGATTTTAGACAAAGAAAACTCGAAAACAATGTCGATTTTACTTAAATTTCAAAAGCCGACACCTAGAGCAAAACAATAACGACGCGTGACATCTGACATTTTTTTTTTCTTTATTTAGGAGATTTTCAGCCGTAGGCTGGTTTATCTCCGAAAGCCCCTGAAGGGGACTCCCCTAGTAACGTAGTTTAGATTTTTTCGGTGAACCCTAAGGGGGTTCTCCTGGGTATAGATGTGCTTAGGGTGTTCCCTTGGTACATAGTGGTTTTTACAGAGTTTGTTAACGTTTGTGTTTCGTGGTTGTTCAGCGTGATTGGCGGTTCATAAAAGGGATGGCAGTGGTCGTTGTAAAGGGTATTCAGATAATCGTTGTGTGGTATCCAGTCTAGAGTCAATCGGGTCCGTGTTCGGTGCGTTGTTATTTTGTATAGGGGGTCGGTGATTAAATTTTATCGAACAATCCAGCATCTTTAAGAAAGGTTATTAGAGCAGCTTCCGTGGATGGGTCGTTAGACAGGGCATTGCGTATGTTGTCCGGGATTCCGTTGTGGACCCGGATGTTCTGGAAGCAGGGGCAGTTAACGATCAGGTGTTCGACAGTCATTATAATGTTGCAGGTGTCGCAAAACTTCTGAAAAGATGTAGCGCTGCCCATATTATGGGTTACTCGGGTGTATCCAGATCGGAGCCGAGATAGGACCTGTTGTTTCCGTGGACTTGTAGTGTCCTTCCATTTGAAGATGTCGTCCTTTATTTTCCTTAAGAAAGGTCCCCTTTTTGTAACCCACTCTTGGTACCAGGCGTCTCGAAGGGTTGTTTTCACCCATGTTTTTATGTCTGAACTGGGAACAGATTTGGTAGTCATCCGCTTCGCAGTTACCGCGTATACCACAATGGCCAGGTACCCAGACAAATGAGGTGTTCGGTGGTGCGGTCTTTTGTATGCCTTGGATCCAGGGATGTTTTGATATTGCTGAATTCAAGGCACATAAAACGCTGGCAGAATCTGTTAGAACGCAAATGGGTTTATCGGAGGGCGTAGTGACGGCTAAATAGATGGCCGCGGCCTCCGCCGAGAAGACGGAGCATTGATCGGGAAGTCGAAAGAATAAACTGTTGAACGTATCTGCTACTCCGTATCCTACTTTGCCCGCAGCCTTGGAGCCGTCCGTGAAGCGGTGTTGAAACTTGGCATACTTAGTTCTGAATAACTCCGCTAGGTGGCTGTGCATAGCGTGAGAGTTGTTCCCTGTCTTAAAGTGCTTGGCAATCGTAAGGTCAACATGTAGGGTTGGCTCTGTCCATCCTCTGGCTCCGATCCAGTGTAACCTGGACACGGGTGGGAGCTCCTGATGGACCAGGCTTCCTACACGCAGAAAAAAATATTTTAAACGTAATAATATTTGACGTAAAATCAATAAGAATTTCATTTTGTTTTGGCTGCAAAAAGAAATCATTATTGTTTCAACTATCCAGTATTGTTGTCCCTTAAAACCCATGGATCGTTAAATCAAAAAGAAAATCTTTTCGAATTTACAAGAGCTTTCATGGTTTTGACGTAAGCCGTCAAATTTGGCAGCTGTTTCAACAACAAAAATATGTTTGTTTTTAAAAGAGATTTCTTGTTGATTCAATCAAATTTATTTGACGCAGTAGAAATAAAAATATGTTTATTGATTAAAAAATAATGTCGATTTTTTAATGTTTTGTTTTCTTTTTGCAACAAACAGAATTGCAATTGAATTTCTAAAGCATAAAATCACTGATCACGCCATGTGGTACAATTGTTGGTACAATCCAGTAGTAGTGGTGTTGCGCCATGTGGTACACTGAAAAATTGCAATAGCAGGTGCGTCACCAAAGTTTTCGAGCCGCTCCGTCTGTCACTTCGTTTGTGTCGAAACTATTCAAGTCACACCAGACTTGGAGAAGTTGCTGAAAACTTCGTTGTTGGCAATGAAGATCCCCCTGAAGTGCGAAGAACATCGACAAGCGGAGAACTATCTGTGGAAAACAGCGCAGCAAGAAGGATTTTCGGATGATGTCAAGACGTTGCTGAAGAATCGTGAGCTGCCGCAGGCTAAGTGGCACAACAACATTGAACGATCGAGTCCACTATACAGATTGTCCCCTTTGTCCCCCTGGAAGGGCGGTCGGCTGCAGGCGATGAAGAATTGTGCGTGGTGCAAATCAACAAGTGTCAACCAGCAGTTCCCAGGATGGCACCCTTGTCTGTACAAGGGTGCCTCACTCCACAGCTACGTTCGTTTAGCTATGTGGGGATCGATTATTTCGGTCCAGTAATCGTCACGGTTGGACGACGATCGGAGAAGAGATGGATTTGCCTGTTCACGTGCCTAGCGACCCGGGCAATCCACATGGAAGTCGCTCATAGCCTAAGCGACCAGTCATACGTGATGGCAATCAGGCGATTTATTTGCAGGAGAGGTGCACCACTGGAGTTCTTTTCAGACAACGGCACGAATTTTCAAGCGGCCAGCAAGGACCTGTTACAAGAGGTGCGTCGTATCGATCTGGAGTGTGCAAACGTTTTCACCGATGCCAGGACCCGGTGGACCTTCAATCCACCTGCAGCGCCGCACATGGGTGGCATTTGGGAGCGATTAGTTGGATCGGCGAAAGAAGCACTTAATGCTCTACACGATGGCGGAAAATTGACGGACGAAATCCTACTCACTGTGCTGGCTGAAGCTGAAGACATGGTGAATTCTCGGCCGCTCACATATGTGCCACAGGAATCAGCAGATATCGAAGCCCGCACGCCGAATCACTTCCTCCGCGGTTTACCTGCTGGAGAGCGTGAAGAGGCTCACGTACCGACAAATTCGGCCGAAGAGTTGCGGGACAACTACAAGCGGTCCCAGGAGCTGGTGGATATGCTGTGGCAGAGGTGGCTGAAGGAGTACATACCTACCATCAATCATCGTACCAAGTGGCACGGAGAGCAGACACCAATCCAAGAAGGAGAACTGGTGTATGTAGTCGATGGGAACAACCGTAGAACCTGGATCCGAGGAGTTGTGGAAAAGGTAATTCAAGGCATCGATGGAAGAGCACGACGAGCACTGGTGAGAACATCAAAGGTAGTGTATCGACGTGCTGTCGCCAAGCTTGCGGTGATGGAGTTAAGGAGTAAATCTGGCCAGAAACTTGGTCCCGGACCAGAGTTACGGGAGGGAGAATTGTTGCCACCGCCGCTGGGCACAACACCGGTGGGCTCGCTGCCGGACCTGTAGGAAAGTGAGGTGAGGAGGAAACGTCATGGCACGTGACAGTTGTCAACCGGAAAGGTTGACGTTACGGATCAACCAAGAAGAAGAGAGATCACAGACACAAAGTGAAAAAAGGATCGAAAAGTTAAATTCCAAAATTGCTCAAAAGTTGTGAAATCTAGAGCTAGGAATAATTCAAAAACAAGTGAATTATAAATTACTATTAACCTAGTTGAAGATGCTAATTTCAAATAACAGACTGTAGTTGCAATTTCCAAACCTACGACTGGATGCCTTCCTTCAAATAACAACTGAAGTGCGGTAAAAATCGGTAGAATTGTTTCAAACACACAGTTGGTACTTGAGCGGGTCGGTTTTCATCTCTTTTTGCCAGTGGTGGCGGGGGGACACACCCCTCACCATCCCTCTCCAAAGGGGGAGTTTGGTAAAGAGAGATGAAAAAACCGATTTGTACCTTCCTTAAAAGTTGTCCTAGCTCGCTATACTAATATCTATATGCAATCTTCACACTGCCGTACTCTAACGGAACTATCAACTCTATGCTTTCATCTACTCCATCTATAGTATAAAAATTACCACTACAGTCTGTTATTTGAAATTAGCATCTTCAACTATGTAAATTTAAGGAAGAAGAAATACTAAAACATATAGTCAAAGTACTATTAACCTATTCGTATGTAACAATGAATAATTTTTGTTAAACCTTAACCCAGACTTAAAATTATTTATCTAGGCTCAAACAAAGTTAATTGAAGGAATTTGTTTGGTCAAAGGAACCACGTGAAGAGGACCGTTAATGTGAGTCGATAAATTTATAAATTTAATTGAGACTAATAAAATTATTTCTAGTTTTTGAGCTGCATGCTACGGCCTGCTTCAAGAATGTGAATTCTTCAATTTGACTACAACAGTACCCCAAGTTTCCAAACTAAACAGTACGTTTTCTGAAGGATTTTCTTTCCATACATCGAAAAAGGATTTTGTTCATATTTTCTGTCCTCTATACTTACATAAGCCATGTTAATGAACCCTCACAATAGTCGTTTGTCAGATCGAATAATTTACCGAAATAGTTTACCTGCACTGATTACCACCTCACTCACTGACGCACGAAGCCATCGAACCTCCCTGATGATGTGGCTGGCATTGTGCTGCCTCAATCGTCGTTGGACTTTTACTCTTGTGTTTAACCACTTTCCAGGCAAAATCAAACGGATACTCGACGGGTTTCAAATATTCAGGGGTGTCATCGTCGATTCCGTTGACCTTGTGAGCCGGTTCGCCCTTCATGTGAATTCGCTCCAGAATTGTGGCATTGTGAGTCAGCGGATCCATTCCGGTGATGTGGAAGAATAATTCCTCTTTGCTCTTGACGCCACTCACGCCACGCTTGGTGAAAAACTGAAAATTAAATTAGAGAAAGGCTTTGATGATGGTGATTCTTATCTATAGGTTAAATACTTACCGTGCTTATATTATCGCAATCACGCATCAGAAACTCCAGCGCCCCGGGATGACCAGGCTCCACCGACTGAGCCACGTCGATGATCCAGCACTGTTCGTCGAACCATAGAATATTGTATTCCGACATATCGGCATGCACAAGCCTAGCCTCGTTGTATAACTTGTACATAATTTCAACCATTTCTTCGTAGGCACAAATCAGCTGCGCATCGTTCAGAATAGCTTCCTTCAGTTTCGGAGCTGGGACCATATTTTCCCCAATGAATGACATCACCAGGACGTTCTTCTTCAGAGCTACAATTTCCGGACAGCGGATGCCATACTTTTTCATCCGATTCAAATTATGCAGCTCCTTCTCAGCCCACATATTGATTACAACTTTGGCATTCTGTTTCGAGTATCTTCCAGCAAAACGAAAATCATCTTTAATATAACGATCTCTTTGCTTGAATTCGTTCAACGTGGTACTGAATATCTTGATTGCCACCTCCTTAGGATATTGCGTGCCTTCTTCCAGATTTGGATTTGACGGATCCGTCTCGGCGTGTAAAATAACGGCCTCTTTTCCGGTCGAGATGATTCCATCAATCGATTCCAGCACCTGATTGTTGATCCATTTGTAGAGAATCATTCTAGTCGGTTCATCCAAACCCATTTCCGCAGTTGCAATATTCTCTTTTCGATCCTGTGCCTTGTGTTGCTTTTTGGTTGCCTTCTGTGAATGTGTTTTCAACTGATTGAACACCTTGTTGGAGAGTTTCATATCGAAACCTGCACCATCCCCGGTAGAAAACTCCGGGGGAAATGACATCACCTTGCAGGCATTCTTCCTCCCCGTGATATCTTGGTTATGCTTCGTTACCATCTCTCCATCCTCATTCACCTTATAACCAACCTTTGGCATAGACTTCTGTTCCTTCTCATTCGTCTCAAAACGATCCCAATGGGCTTTCGGATCTAACGGAGTGTCCTGTATCTCTTCGTCATACACCAACTCTTCCGGTACCATTCGATAGTTTTTCAGCGAAATCTTCACGCTAGAGTTCTTGTTCCGGTGGTCTTCTACCCGTTTAAGTTCCTCGTCATACTCACAATCGAATTGAGCTTGCAAAAGTTTCGCAATCACTGCATCCGAATCCCGCTGTTTCTGGTCCGCTTCCTCAATCGCTCTCAGAATATCCTCCGGAATCGATTCGTCTGAACATGATCCACCCACTGCCCCACCACTAGAATAAACCGAAAATGGTTACTAATAAAAAAAAAACTTTCTTCCATTTCAAAACATCACCTCTCCTCGTCGATCAACACTCCTGGGTCTATCGACCTGGAACTTCCGGCAACGGGTTCATAATCTTCTACCTTTACCACCGGTTTTTGTGGCTTCACGTTCTTCTTCGGAACCTGTCCCAAGACAGAAATTCCCTCATGCTGCTGCAGACCACGTGCAAATTCTTCGGACATGATCTCCTGGAAGTCGACTGCTTCCACCGGTGCAACTGTTCCCCACGGAGACGACATGATTTTCTGATTTGATTTAGGCTAAAATTTGACTTGTACTTAAAATCTATTGAAACTAATGAATGAGCAACGCAAACCGTGTCTTTACAGGAAAACTTTTTTGTTGGAAAATATTGTGAAATTCCTTTAACAAAATAACAAGTTGAGCAAGAGCGGTAAAACTGCAGGGAATCACACACGGGTTGCACAAATTTAATACGATGCAGAACAAAAAAGGCTGACGAGTCCTGATATTATTATTGAATTTACGTGTGAAATGAAGAGTAGCAAAATAGATTGCACCCACATTAGACAGTTCCGAAGCTGATTTTCTATGAGAGCAAGCGAAACAAAAGACACTGCAACTTTTATTTGTGATTTGACGTTTAATCACGCACACTACTGCAGCATCTAAATCGAACAAGTGCGAGCAAGAAGGAAACAGGTAAGTGGGAAAATAATAAATCCATTCATCCGCGTGCGTGCTAGATAGAGAAAGACGATGAAACGTCAAAAAGCTCTGTCTATTGGCGTTGACGGAACCGCCGAAAAATCGTCTCTTCTAGCAAAGATTGACAGTTTCTAATGGGAATTTTCAATGGAGTGAAAGGATAGTACGAAGTGCGCCATGTTTCACGCACAGTCTGACGTTTGCTTATGGATTTTATCATTGGAGTAAAGAGCTACAGAGTCGCCGTCAACGCCAATAATCCGTCTAATCAATAGGTCATATGAATAAAAGCGTTTACTTTACTTTTCCCGTAAGAAAAGCACGGGAAAGTAAAGTAAACTCTTTTTATTCATACGGCCCAATGTCATTAAATTTGTTAAATTTATATTAGGCTCTGAACCATTTGGCGAATTTTTTTAACTTTTGGTTAAAATTTGACAGATGGAACGTTATTGATTAAGGCTCTGAACTATTTGGTGGATTATTTTAAATTTTGGTTAAAATTTGACAGATGGAAAGTTATCGATTAACCCTGCTATCCGAGCATGGTTATTTCTGACAGACAAGAAGTTAAATTTTGACAACCGTGGCTCGAAAACCGGTTGAGCGACAGCACAGGGATTTTCGAACATAGAAAATAACTTTCGAAATGTCACTTTTAACCACGAGTTAAATTTAACTCGGCAAATGGTTCACAGCCTAAGGCTCTGAACCATTTGGTGGATTATTTTAACTTTTGGTTAAAATGTGACAGATGGAAAGTTATCGATTAACCCTGCTATCCGAGCGTGGTTATTTCTGACAGACAAGAAGTTAAATGTTGTCAACCGTGGCTGAGTTCTTCTCGAAAACCTGTCGATCGACAGCACAGGGATTTTCGAACATCAAGAATAACTTTCGAAATGTCACTTTTAACCACGAGTTAAATTTAACTCGGCAAATGGTTCACAGCCTAACCCTGCTATCCGAGCATGGTTATTTCTGACAGACAAGAAGTTAAACTTTGACAACCGTGGCTCGAAAACCGGTCGATCGACAGCACGGGGATTTTCGAACATAGAAAATAACTTTCGAAATGTCACTTTTAACCACGAGTTAAATTTAACTCGGCAAATGGTTCACAGCCTTAGAAATACTCAGAGCGAGAGATGGGCGAAGAGAATGGGCCGTATGAATAAAAAGAGTTTACTTTACTTTCCCGTGCTTTTCTTACGGGGAAAGTAAAGTAAACGCTTTTATTCATACGACCCAATGTTCTGAGCAAGGTGACTACATATAGGTGTTCTAATGTGTCAAATTCCTGATTCAGCCATGTTGGATTTTTGTATGGGACAGCGACCGAGTTTGTTTACAATTTGCACTAAAACCGCACTTTTCCCCCCCGCGACCTCCTCGCCTATATAGTGACAAAGCTGTATCACCATTTATATACCCACCATGGTTCTGAGCGTTCTGAGGCAAATGAACTGTCAAAATCTGAGCCAATCGAACATTCTCATTAGAATTCGTCCGAGGATTACTTATTCTTACTAGATTATATTTGAGAGTTTTGCAATCGAACAGAAATTCAATCACCTTTATGTTTCGTGTGCTTCCAAATTCAAATAGTTTTTGGAATCAAAAACAATATTCTAAGGCTCTGAACCATTTGGTGGATTATTTTAACTTTTGGTTAAAATTTGACAGATGAAAAGTTATCGATTAACCCTGCTATCCGAGCATGGTTATTTTTGACAGACAAGAAGTTAACTTATGACAACCGTGGGTCGAAAATCGGTCGATCGACAGCACGGGGATTTTCGAACATAGAAAATAACTTTCGAAATGTCACTTTTAACCACGAGTTAAATTTAAGGCTGTGAACCATTTGCCGAGTTAAATTTAACTCGTGGTTAAAAGTGACATTTCGAAAGTTATTTTCTATGTTCGAAAATCCCCGTGCTGTCGATCGACCGATTTTCGACCCACGGTTGTCATAAGTTAACTTCTTGTCTGTCAAAAATAACCATGCTCGGATAGCAGGGTTAATCGATAACTTTTCATCTGTCAAATTTTAACCAAAAGTTAAAATAATCCACCAAATGGTTCAGAGCCTAACTCGGCAAATGGTTCACAGCCTAACTCTATTGATTTAATTGATCTTAGGCTGTGAACCATTTGCTGAGTTAAATTTAACTTGTGGTTAAAAGTGACATTTCGAAAGTTATTCTTGATGTTCGAAAATCCCTGTGCGTCGATCGACCGGTTTTCGAGAAGAACTCAGCCATGGTTGTCAACATTTAACTTCTTGTCTGTCAGAAATAACCATGCTCGGATAGCAGGGTTAATCGATAACTTTCCATCTGTAAAATTTAAACCAAAGTTAAAAAAAAAAAATTGCCAAATGGCAATTCACCCCTCGAAACATAGGAAAATTCACTAACCCCTCATTTTATCTGTCAAACTTTCATAGTGAATCAAAACAAACATTGTGTAGTACTAGCACAGACAAACAGACATAACACTCACAAATTGTTCATCGCACAAGCATTTAACGGTCAATTTAAAAGTATCTCAGTTGGTAGTTCTGCCACATGTGGCACGCATAGTCAATTCCCTTGCGTTTGACGTTTACACACTACTGCCATCTGTTCAGCGTACTACCACAAACGAAGTGACAGACGGAGCGGCTCGAAATTTGATATGACGCACTTACATTTAAAATTTTCGAGTGTACCTCACGGCAACACTATCTACTCATATGTACTAGCTTAAAGTAGGGGGTACCGCCTGTTATCTCTTTTTCTCTAACGAAAATTGAAAGGGAGAGCCTGTTGTCAAACAGCATGTCATTATATCGCTTCTTTTGTATAATGAAAGACCATAGGCCAAAATGATTAGGGATGAACACATCGGGTTAACATTTGCTTACAAGTAAACGATGTTGAGCTGTCATTGACTCGCGCTTGTTGTAATGGATCATTTTAGATGGCTGAGTTTTGAACCCACCACAGCTTTCATTTGGTGCTACTGTATACGGACGAACCAATGTAAAATACTGTGGTAGCCACAGTACGGTGCTGTCAAAACCTCAGCATCTTCAATGATCCATTGTTACTACAGATTTCTTCAGTCCGTGCTAGAAGCCTAAGTCACAGTCATTCGCGACCGAGAAGACATAGACATCGTTGTTGGACGCCAAACAGAACCCGGTCATACTCGGTATGCTGGTATACATTCGCTCCTCCGTAGCGGAACTGGAAGGATCCACCCAAGCTGCCTGATATCAGTTTTGTCTGCTCCAGCTTCTTCTTATTATTCTGCAGAACCAGAGAGTGCGAGTGCTGGTCGTGTTTGCCAAACCAACCGGTGGAATACTAATCCGAGAGCCGATTTCTTAGGCACGTTGCATTTGTCGCAGTAGATCGTCACTTGCCGCTGCACTTTCATGAAGCGGATTACAATCGCCGTGGCAGTAGTTTCGTCGTCGATCGATATCAACCCGATAGGTATGGCCGGCATGCTTCGCGTAGTGACGCTCGCTCATGTCACGGGGAATCCGAACAGGCGGCGCATTGAAACTTCTGTACGAATCGATCGGGACATAGGATTTGATGTCACGCTTTTGTATCTTTCTGCCTCGACTGCTCAGCCTCTTCTTATTCATCATTCAAAAAATTTTCCGGTACGGGTGCGGGTAGTGGATGTCCCTGTCGAATTGGTTGATTGGACGAGATCATCGTCATCGACAAGTACCAGTTATCAAACTTTCCAGTTATCATGCAGATGAAGTTTTCAAAGGAGTAATCTCTTCCACCTATGCAGCACAAGCTCGGTTAACAAGCTGCGGCAAGTTTTTACGTCGATGCAAATGGGAAATTGGAATTCAATCTGAAATTGAAAACCAACCCTAATAAAATTGTTATGGTTATTTTGCTTAACGACGTGTTCGGGGTATCATACAAACCATTTGTGGAATGGTTTTATTATTTGGGTTTTCGTTCATGTATGGTAGTTTTTTATTAGGGAAACAGTAAAAAAAAAAGTTGTTGAATATTATAGCAGCCCGAAAAAAAAATTACAGTGAAATTTTCAGTGGAAACAATGCTTTAACATTAATATTTATTGTCGACAATAAAAATGATTGTTATAATGTTGTACTCTTCCGAAAACGGCAAAACTGCTACCTAGCTGTACAATGAATGTACATAATAAAATATTGTTACAATGATTTTTATCGTATTTTCATTTATTTTATTGTTAACATGATTCGATCATGAACAATAATGAACAACTCTATTACAATAAAAATTGTTGTTACATTAAATATTGGTGTATTTTCATTGTGGGTTACTTCACGAACAATAAAAATAAATCTGATTGAAGCATGCAGACTATGAGAGGGTCAGCAACGCTGCCAATGTAATTAAGATAGGCGCTGCTCGTATGGCTCTGGCTTTGACAGTTCGTTTGGCTCAAAACCAGGCAGTCCGCGTCCGCTCATATCTTATCCTAGACCCTCTCTAAAGCTTAATGGAGACCTTTTCCGTGCAGTCAATAATCATACAATAATAATAAAAAATTCCACCACTTGAAGATGTCAGGAAGGAACTCTCAGGTGGAAGCATATTTCATGGGCGATTCTCTCCAGTCGAATGCATTAACTTATCAACGACGCTCAACCACCAAGGAGACGTGACCTAGGGATATCGAGCGCAGAGGAGTTAACCTGCATTTCTCACAAG